TCTTTCTTTCTTTCTTTCTTTCTTTCTTTCTTTCTTTCTTTCTTTCTTTCTCTATCTTTCTTTCTTTCTTTCTCTTTCTTTCTTTCTTTCTTTCTTTCTCTATCTTTCTTTCTTTCTCTTTCTTTCTTTCTTTCTTTCTTTCTTTCTCTCTCTCTCTCTCTCTCTCTTTCTTTCTTTCTTTCTCAATAGGCATTTTTGTTCATTTCTGTACAGCTTCTATTTTTAAAATCTTAACTTAGTTTGTCCTCTATATGATAAAAAATAAAAGTATATGCACAAAAGTCCAGTGCATGATAAAACCCGTTTCTCTTAATCTATAATTTTTGTACAGATTTTTTCTAATAGGCATGTTTTATAGGCATGGTCACTGAAGAGCCCCATCACAACTATAGGAAAAATGCAATACTGATCACTAGTTTTGTATTGCTGAGTGGCTTGCACATTAGTATGTGAAGTCAGGTAGTTTTTCTTTCAGTACAAACCAAAAATTCCTCAGCTATCATTGTAAAAAACTCAAACAGTAACAAACACACACATAATCTACCTGACTCTCTAACATGCTAACTCCACAGAAAAAAAAAGAAGAAGAGATGGTTCATAAGAGCAGTGATGCCCCAGGATGGCTGAAAATTGGCTCTTATAGTCAACTGTGACACACAGCTGCAGAGTAGATTTATAGGATTAATTTGGCTTCCATTTCTACAAAACCAATTGGCTCTTCTATTTGGAAACAAGGATTGCTTCTAACAAAATTGCATTCAACTTTTCATGTTGATTTTCCTCTGGACAGACCTGCTTTTCACTACGGCAAACAGAAGGGCAGGGAGGGAAGCCTTGGTTATTCCTTGTGCGTGGGTGCGCGCGTATTCATGGCCAGTAAGCAATTCAGCTTCAAACCTTTAGAAGCTGTGGCAGGAGTCACAAGGCAGAGATCTTTTCTATCCATTCTAAACACTCTGTCCTGGCTCCTGGCCAGCCACACAGCCTGTCTGAAATTAGAAAGGTTGAAAGATGGATTTCTGCACATCATTTGGCTATAATATACAGATGGCGCTTAAGGTCTAAGAGCTGGGGGAAAGGGACTGGCAATTTCTTTTCATCTCAAGAAGGGTGCAAGGTTAACTTCAATCACATCAAGGCTGAAAGTCATTTTTAGTATCTTACTATGAAGTATATTAGCTAGCAAGCTCTAAGAATGGCTGCTTCCAATTATATAACTGAAATTATGTTTCTGACAAAGCATCTTCCCTAATTCCCTCTATCATTTTGATGTATCTTCCTGATGTTGTGCCCCTTGCAATACCCTCATTTTTAGTAGGCAGCACTTGAACATATTGTTTCAAGTGACAAGGTTTTGATCATTATTGGATCAGAAATAGTGCTCAAGATGAGAAATAACAAAACACAAAAATAATTAATGAAAGCATAAAACAAAATTACAAACACAAGAAATAAAAGAGAGTGATATAATACAAACAATTACTCAAAAGATTATTCCGCAATTCTCCAAAATATACAACTTATACATGCACACAATAGGAAATGTATTTTATTATGAGTTCGAAACAAAACAGCCCCACTTTAAATATTTTCTGTCCGAGCAGAATCCATTGACTGTCTTCTGTCAGAACAAAACTTGAAATGTTTTGTTCCCACATCTCTTAGAACATAACTAGGTTTTGTTTCAACCCTGAAACACTCAAACACTGAAATTGGAACATCCATTTTAAGTTTGTTTTCTTTAACTGCAACACTCAAAACACAATCACCTGAAACTTTGTTCCAAAGTCGGAATAAAACAGAGTGCTTTGTTTCAACCTCAAAATGAAACTCTTGTCTCATTCAAAATGGCCATTTTGGGCTCAAAATGTTTTGTACACCTCCCGTACAAACCCCCTTTTTTCACGCCTGCCAAGGTGCTAAGCATGAGTTGGATTAAATGCATTATGAAGGCCTTCTTGTTCCTATGGCACCATATCAGCAAAAGAAAGTTTTTTTTTCACTATCCTAATATTGTTTTTATAAAACTTAGATTAGTCATGCCCCCAAGGCACAGGGGTCTCAACTGGCCTACTCAGGTTCTCCAATCTGGCCTACAACTTGAGCACTGGGTCCGCTTTGCTAAGGCTCTTTTGGCACTTGCTGCAAAGATATCAAATAATCTCCAGGCTTCCTTCCAATTGAACAGCTGGAAGTTGGCAGGAATGAAGCTTAAAAATTATTAAGTTACAATCAGCATTGAGAGTTTGGTTAAAGCCACTGTCCCCTAGATAAACAATATATTAAAGGCACACTTTTTAATATTCATGTTATATCATACAGTAATTACATACATGCTGTAAGTGTTTGGAAGTAGATAACAGGGAAAGCTCAGAAACACTTTTTCCCCAAATTAGTTCTAACTAAAGGAGGTCTGAAAATGGTAACTAATCCAAAATGTAGTAGCTAGATGGATAACTGAAACTTGAATATATTCCTTTAGGCTTTATCACTGGAGGTCTCAATTCCCACTGAAGCCATAGTTTTCATGCACCCGATCTCCCTGTGCTTGTGAAATCCCTTCTCTTCTCAAGCCTTTTAACTGGTCTTCTTACCTGCATTTGTACTGATTTTTGGCTGCTTTCATAGTTCTCAATTCAGGTTTTTATCTTTTGTTTTACTTTTGTGAAATGCAAGGCAGCTAAAATATATAGTCAAAGAGAAACTGGTGTTCAGTATGAATTCAGATGGAACCAGTGATTTTCTATGAAACACTTCCTAGGCTTTTTAAGTTTGAAACACCTGATTTAATTCAGGGGATTAATTCTACTTATGAAACCAAGGAATGTCACACAATCCTTTTCTATAATACGCATCTTATATTATACCAATTTACAGGTTAAGGATATAAGCTGCTTTGCTTTGGACAACAAGTACAATTAATGGTATCCATTATCAGCCAAATCCACATGACTGAGGTTTTTGCTAAGAAATAAGGCTCAAACAGGATCATATCTAGAAGACAGCCAACAGCTGTGTTTGAACTATCAGAGTGAACAAATGCTGCCCTCTAGAGATAACATTGCAATACAGATTTTCACCTACATTTTGAAATAATAATAATAATAATAATAATAATAATAACAACAACAACAACAACAACTGTACGCCAACCGACTCTCAACGACTCAATTCAAAAATGACTTTTGCAAATCAGATATAGGAAATAGGTTAAACATGGAGGAGTAAATATACATAATTAAAAAAAACAACTAAGCACACTTCTCAATTGATAAAGCAATTCATTTTTGTTTCACTTATAAAATGCAAAATGGCAATCTGCATGTTTCCTTTAATACTACTAAAGGGAGGCTCTCCAACTTTGCCATAACAAATATTCTCCATATATCATAACTGCCTACTTCTATCTTATTCCAAGTTAATGAGGATGATGAAAGGAGAGGATAAGATTTATTCTATACCTCTAGATTCATCCAAAAGACCAGAACCCTCTTTTTGAATGAAATTAGAATAAACTGGGATGAAAGATAACAGTGTTAGCACACAAGAGAGCATACAAGTGGAAACTCATTTTCATGAAGCTGAAACATAGGTTTCTGTTATACCTCAATAGGCTCAAAGTCATTTTCACTGCAGTCTAAGAAAACATAGGAAAACCTGTTATACCCAATATCAACCACAATATTTGTGTGTATCCATATTGAATATGTAGAAGTTAAAATACCAAAAGAGATTACGCTGTATAGCCAAGGAGAGTTGTTTAGAATATTTCTTAGTTTTGAAAAGTGATTTAAATGATTGCCTGCTATTTTTTAGATACTAGAGACATGTAATATAACAAATCCCAATATTATTTCAATAAAACACAAAACCCAAGACAATGTTAACATGCATAAATGGAACACAATGCTTATTTCCATTCCACTGACCATGATCTTCATAAGGATCATTGGGATCATCAGCCACCAGTTCAGCACTGCTTGGTGTTTCATGGTCTTCTTTGGTCACAAATATAATTCTGTCCTTTCCTAAAAATTGGGGAAAAAAGCACAGACAATATCAGAAGAGCAGATAAGGGACTGATCTGCCATAAACTTCTGAACAATTAACAGATGACATTGGGCCCTGGAGAGGCTTCAATATAAACCACTTACGTCCGTCCTGACATTAAATCTGATTAAACAAACTTAAAGTCATTAAGGTTAAACACTGGGATGAATCTGAAGACATCTTAACTCCTTCGGATCCTACTTATCTCACTTTTCAATTTTTTTATCACAACTTGATCCAAAACTTTTTTATATGTATATAATTTTTATTAAGAATTTTTATTATAATAGTAAAATCTAACACAAACTAAACTTAAAAAAAGAAAAAAGAAAAGAATAGGAAGTAAAAAGTGCAAGAAAAAAGAAAAAAGAAAGCAGAAAAAGTGAGAATAAAGAAAGAGAAAAGAAATATATAAAGTAACTTCCAACCTTCAGCAGAAAAGTCCATAAAGGGCTGCCAGAAGTAACAACATATCTTAATTTAACCTTGATAAAATAAACTTTA